AAAAAGTCGAGTAGCATTACATAAAAAAAAATCAGGAAACACTGTAAGTCAAAAGAAAATTTTTATCCCGGCGCCTCCTCCATTTTTATCAAAAATTAAACTTGACGAAATGAGCCCACAATGTTTTCATTCTTTTCAGAAATTATCTCAGGATCACGAATCTGTTCTTATTTTCGTAATTTCCTTTCAAATAACGGAGAAAAACGTGGTTATAGGGAAAAAGTAACATATTTTTCACAAAACCGATCATTTATTTTCCTTCAATTCTGTGTGTGATCCGTTATCTATTTTAAATATCAAAAATATTTAAAAAATTATAATTTTTTTATATACACTATTTCTGTAAGAAGCTCCTACAGATTCTTGTAATAAATAATTTTAAAATAAATGTTTATCCCGGCGCCTCCACCATTTTTATCAAAATTTAACATTGACGAAATGAGCTCACAATGTTATCATTCTCTTCAGAAATTTTCTCAGGATCAGCAATCTGTCCCTATTTCCGCAATGTCTTTTCAAATAACGGAGAAAAATGTGTTTATAGGGAAAAAAATTCCATATTTTTCACAAACCCGTCATTTATTTACCTTCAATTTTGTGTGTGATCCGTTATCTATTTTAAATATCAAAATTTTTAAATAAATTATAATTTCTTTTAATATACACTATTCCTGAAAGAAGCTCCTACAGATTTTTGTAATAAATAATTTTAAAACAAATTTTTATCCCGGCGCTTCCACCACTTTTATCAAAAAATTAATTTTGACGAAATGAGCTCACAATGTTATCATTCTTTTCAGAAATTTTCTCAGAATCACGAATCTGTCCTTACTTTCGCGACGTTTTTTCAAATAACGGAGAAAAAAGTGTTTATAGGGAAAAAAATACCATATTTTTCACAAAACCGGTAATTTATTTTCCTTCAATTCGGTGTGTGATCCGTTATCTATTTTAAATATCAAAATATTTTAAAAAATTATTATTCCTTTTAATATACACTACTTCTGAAAGAAGCTCCTACCGATATTTGTAATAAATAATTTTAAAATAAATTTTATACCGGCGCCTCCACCATTTTTATCAAAATATTAAACTTGACGAAAAGAGCTCATAATGTTATCATTCTTTTCAGAAATCTTCTCAGGATTACGAATCTGTCCTTATTTTTGTAATGTCTTCTCAAATAACGGAGAAAAATGTGTCTATAAGGAAAAAATATACATATTTTTCACAAAACCGTCCATTTACTTTCCCCCAATTCTGTGCGTGATCCGTTATCTATTTTAAATATCAAAATATTTAAACAAATTATAATTTCTTGTAATACACACTATTTCTGAAAGAAGCTCCTACAGATTTTTGTAATAAATAATTTTAAAATAAATTTTTATCCCGGCGCTTCCACCATTTCTATCAAAAAATAAACTTGACGAAATGAGTTCACACTGTTATCATTCTTTTCAGAAATTTTCTCAGAATCACGAATCTGTCCTTACTTTCGCAACGTCTTTTCAAATAACGGAGAAAAATGTGTTTATAGGGAAAAAAATACCATATTTTTCACAAAACCGGTAATTTATTTTCCTTCAATTCGGTGTGTGATCCGTTATCTATTTTAAATATCAAAATATTTAAAAAAATTATAATTTCTTTTAATATACACTACTTCTGAAAGAAGCTCCTACCGATATTTGTAATAAATAATTTTAAAATAAATTTTTATCCCGGCGCCTCCACCATTTTTATCAAAAATTTAAACTTGACGAAATGAACACACAATGTCATCATTCTTTTCAGAAATTTTCTAAGGATCACGAATATGTCCTTCTTTTCGTAATGTCTTTTCAAATAACGGAGAAAAATATGTGTATAAGGAAAAAAATACACATATCTTTCTCAAAACCCGTCACTTATTTTCCTTCAAGTCTCTGTTTGTCCCGCTATTTAATTTAGACATCAAAATCTCCAAAGAAAATCATAATTTCTTTCAATATATACTAAGGATCACGAATATGTCCTTCTTTTCGCAATGTCTTTTCAAATAACGGAGAAAAATATGTGTATAAGGAAAAAAATACACATATCTTTCTCAAAACCCGTCACTTATTTTCCTTCAAGTCTCTGTTTGTCCCGCTATTTAATTTAGACATCAAAATCTCCAAAGAAAATCATAATTTCTTTCAATATATACTAAGGATCACGAATATGTCCTTCTTTTCGCAATGTCTTCTCAAATAACGGAGAAAAATATGTGTATAAGGAAAAAAATAAATTTCTCAAAACCCGTCACTTATTTTCCCTCAAGTCTTTGTTTGGCCCGCTATTTAATTTAGATATCAAAACCTCTAAAGAAAATCATAATTTCTTTCAATAACCACTATTTCTTAAAGGTGTTCCTCGAGATTTTTGTAATAAATAATTTTAAGCAAAATTTTTATCCCGGCGCCTCCACCATTTTTATCAAAAATTTAAACTTGACGAAATGAGCACACAATGTTATCATTCATTTCAGAAAATTTCTAAGGATCACGACTATGTCCTTCTTTTCGCAATATCTTTTCAAATAACGGAGAAAAATATGTGTATAAGGAAAAAAATACACATATCTTTCTCAAAACCCGTCACTTATTTTCCTTCAAGTCTCTGTTTGTCCCGCTATTTAATTTAGACATCAAAATCTCCAAAGAAAATCATAATTTCTTTCAATATATACTAAGGATCACGAATATGTCCTTCTTTTCGCAATGTCTTTTCAAATAACGGAGAAAAATATGTGTATAAGGAAAAAAATACACATATCTTTCTCAAAACCCGTCACTTATTTTCCTTCAAGTCTCTGTTTGTCCCGCTATTTAATTTAGACATCAAAATCTCCAAAGAAAATCATAATTTCTTTCAATATATACTAAGGATCACGAATATGTCCTTCTTTTCGCAATGTCTTCTCAAATAACGGAGAAAAATATGTGTATAAGGAAAAAAATAAATTTCTCAAAACCCGTCACTTATTTTCCCTCAAGTCTTTGTTTGGCCCGCTATTTAATTTAGATATCAAAACCTCTAAAGAAAATCATAATTTCTTTCAATAACCACTATTTCTTAAAGGTGTTCCTCGAGATTTTTGTAATAAATAATTTTAAGCAAAATTTTTATCCCGGCGCCTCCACCATTTTTATCAAAAATTTAAACTTGACGAAATGAGCACACAATGTTATCATTCATTTCAGAAAATTTCTAAGGATCACGACTATGTCCTTCTTTTCGCAATATCTTTTCAAATAACGGAGAAAAATATGTGTATAAGGAAAAAAATACACATATCTATCTCAAAACCCGTCACTTATTTTCCTTCAAGTCTCTGTTCGTCCCGCTATTTAATTTAGATATCAAAACATCTAAAGAAAATCATAATTTCTTTCAAAACACACTATTTCTGAAAGGAGTTCCTACAGATTTTTATAATAAATAATTTTAAAGCAAATTTTGATCCCGGCGCCTCCACCATTTTTATCAAAAATTTAAAATTGACGAAATGAGCACACAATGTTTTCATTCATTTCAGAAAATTTCTAAGGATCACGACTATGTCCTTCTTTTCGCAATATCTTTTCAAATAACGAAGAAAAATATGTGTATAAGGAAAAAAATACACAAATCTTTCTCAAAACCTGTCACTTATTTTCCTTCAAGTCTCTGTTTGTCCCGCTATTTAATTTAGATATCAAAACATCTAAAGAAAATCATAATTTCTTTCAAAACACACTATTTCTGAAAGGAGTTCCTACAGATTTTTATAATAAATAATTTTAAAGCAAATTTTGATCCCGGCGCCTCCACCATTTTTATCAAAAATTTAAACTTGACGAAATGAGCACACAATGTTATCATTCATTTCAGAAAATTTCTAAGGATCACGACTATGTCCTTCTTTTCGCAATGTCTTTACAAATAACGGAGAAAAATATGTGTATAAGGAAAAAAATGCACATATCTTTCTCAAAACCCGTCACTTATTTTCCTGCAAGTCTCTGTTTGTCCCGCTATTTAATTTAGATATCAAAACATCTAAAGTAAGTCATCATTTCTTACAATACACACTATTTCTGAAAGGAGTTACTACAGATTTTTGTAATAAATACTTTTAAAGCAAATTTTTATCCCGGCGCCTCCGCAATTTTTATCAAAAATTTAAACTTGACGAAATGAGAAGACAATGTTATCATTCTTTTCAGAAATTTTCTAAGGATCACGAATATATCCTTCTTTTCGCAGTGTCTTTTCAAATAAAGGAGAAAAATATTTGTATAAGGAAAAAAATACACATATCTTTCTCAAAACCCGTCACTTATTTTCCTTCAAGTCTCTGTTTGTCCCGCTATTTAATTTAGATATCAAAACATCTAAAGAAAGTCATAATTTCTTACAATACACACTATTTCTGAAAGGAGTTACTACAGATTTTTATAATAAATAATTTTAAAGCAAATTTTTATCCCGGCGCCTCCACAATTTTTATCAAAAATTTAAACTTGACGAAATGAGAAGACAATGTTATCATTCTTTTCAGAAATTTTCTAAGGATCACGAATATGTCCTTCTTTTCGCAATGTCTTTTCAAATAACCAAGAAAAATGTGTATAATGAAAAAAATACACATATCTTTCTCAAAACCAGTCACTTATTTTCCTTCAAGTCTCTGTTTGTCCCGCTATATCTAAAAAATATCATAATTTCTTTTAATACGCAGCGCTTAACTTGTCAAGTTGACGGACCCATCAGGCCCCACCTAGGCGCACGGGCCTGGGTTTGAAACCGTTCCACTTAATTAATATTCAATATCGTCCACTTCCGCGACACCTGTTCACGCCGCTAATCGCCCGTATTAACTCACCCGCCCACGCCGCCTCCGCGACAAGGGTGCTTAATCCGCATAATCGCCCCGACACCTCTAAACCCCACTAAGTCCCGCACTAAAAAGGGTCAAATTGATTCCGTTGCAGATTCCTCAGCGTGAAGAAATGGCTTCTGAGGAAGAAACACCAGATCGAGCTGGCGCGGAAGCGCGGCTGGAAGGGCTACTGGGTGTGCTTGAAGGGCACGACGCTGCTGTTCTACCCTTGCGATTCGCGCGAGGGCCGCTCGGTGGAGGCGGCGCCCAAACACCTCATCATCGTGGACGGGGCCATCATGCAACCCATCCCCGAACACCCCAAGCGGGACTACATCTTCTGCCTGAGCACGGCGTTCGGTGACGCCTACTTGTTCCAGGCGCCCTGTCAGGTAAGCACGTTTCGACCTCATCAATACTGCATCAGTCTTGCCGCAACGAGAGTCTGGCCGGGACTAATTATGGAGTTTTTGATGAAGGCACGGTCGCTGGCTCCAAATTAGTTCCTGAAAAATGCACCGGGGCTGCATATCGAAGCGCAAATTAACAACCACTGCAGAGTGGGGGACTATCAGTCGCGGGGATCTTGAATTAATTTGGGGTAATTTAGGGGCACTCGGAGATAATTTGAAACGAGACGGGGGATTTTTATGCGGAAAGGCGGGAAGTCAAAATCAGAAGCAGAAGTTGAGATGTTTGAATGCGAAATTCTGAATCAGCATCCAGAAGACGTAGCGAAACCTGGTGGTGATAAAATCGGTGTGATTTTAATATCGTCGTTCCAGCACACTAAAAATTATCTCGGGCTTGCCATTTCAGGTCTTTATCGTCTATTTATCGCCACACATAAATTTTTTAGAGCTAATGATAATACTAATAGTTTATTAGTGTTGCTGTCAGTTATCAAAAATGTACAGATTTTTGAAGTTTTTGTCAATCTACATGTTTTTTATACTGAAATTTCATCCTAAATCGAATTATTTCTTGAATCATGCCAGAATTTGAAGTAGATTTTCCTGAATTTTCTATTTTCTAAAAGTAGTCAAAAATGCTCAATTTCAAAATTGAAAAGCTGAACTTTTTGGAAAAGTTGACTGAAAATCCACAAAAAATCTGAGATACATATCTTGAAAATTGTCATATTTCAATGGTAGGAGTTTTCAAAAAAAACATGAAGCGGGAAATGACTTCTGTAGGTGGAAATCTGCAAAAAAACTCTTTAAACAATTTTCGAAACTGGTTGAAAAATGGTTGAAAATTTCCAAAGGAGTGACAAACTGAGCTTTTTGGAAAAGTTGACTAAAGATCAATAAAAATTCTAGTATATTGATCTTGACGTGTTGCTTCCAAAACTAGAGGGGGTCGAAAATTTCAAAATATTCAATTTGAAATCCAAATTTTTGAAAAATCCGAAAAATTGACATTTCAATTGGTGATTCCGGAAAATGGTAGACTCCTGCAAGTTACTAAATTCTTAAATTTTTTAAAATTTCAAAATTTCTTAAAAATTTGATAGTTAATAGTTGTTTTAGATTTCTTAAGTACACATAGTTCTTAGAGTTATTGAAGATTTTAAGTTCTTAAAGGCCTCGAAATTCATACAAAGTTATCCAAGTTTCAGAAATTCTCAAATTTCTCAAACTAAAGTTCTTACAGATGTTCCTATACTGTTCAAACTCTTTAAAATTCTACAAAATTTTAGAAGTCTTTAAATTTTTGAAATGATCAAAATTTTCAAAAAATTCTAGAAATTTTCGAAGTTCTCCAAGGTCTTAAATTTCTCAAACCTCCAGAAGTTTTTGTAAATTCCTGAGCTTCTTAAAAATCTCAAAGTTTCTAAAATTCTTAAATATTTTAAAGTTCTCAATGTTTTTAATAATTTTAATACTCTTAAAGTTTTTACACAAAAAGTACATTATTATTTTTTTAAGGATTTTCAACTTCACAAAATTTTCAAGTTTTTAATGTTTTTGAAGTTCTCAAATGTCATAAAGTATTTACACTTCTTGCACTCCTCAAAGCCCTTTTAAACTTTTCCAAAGTTTTCGAAATTTTCAAATTTTTTAAAATTTTTAAAATGATCAAGATTCTCAAAAAAAAAGTTCTCAAAGTTGTCAAAATTTTTAAATGCTTCAAATTTTATTGAACTCCTTGAAGTTCTTAAAGGCCTTCAAGTTTTGAAGTTTTGAAGTTCACAAAGATATTAAAATTCTCAAAGTTCCCAAAGGTCTCAAAATACTGAAATTTTTGAAAGTTGTAAAATTTGTCAAAGTTCTCCTTAAACTTCTTTTAGTGTTTTTCAAGTTTTCAAAGTTTTTTAAATTATTTTATTTCTCCAAATCCTCGAATTTCTCGCAGTTTCCAAGTTCTTAAATTTCTTAAAGATTTTTGTACTTGATCTTTACAGTTCTCAAATTCTCAAAGTTCTTAAAGTTTTTAAAGTTTTCGAAGTTTTTAAATTTTTGAAATGATCAAAATTTCCAAAATTCTCAATATTCGCGAAATTCTAGAAATTTTCGAAGTTGTCCAAGGTCTTAAATTTCTCAAACCTCCCGAAATTTTTGTAAATTTCTGAGCTTAAAAATCTCAAAGTTCCTAAAATTCTTAAATACTTTGAAGTTCTCAATGTTTTTAGTAATTTTAATACTCTTAATGTTTCTCAAAATTAGATATAGTTAAATTAAGAATGGCTCAGCCAATTTTCCATAAAGGTAACCTAAAATTTTCAAAATTCTCAATGTTCGCGAAATTCTCGAAATTCTCGAAATTCCCCAAATCTGCAAAAAAAGTCTTCAGCCAATTTTCGAAAATTTCTATTGGGGAGACTATTGAAAAATTGACTTTTTGAAAAAGTTGACTAAAAATCCACAAAAAAATCTGAAATATAGACTGTGACGTGCTGGTTTCAAAAATATAGCGTGTTTGTGGGGACGTTAAAGAATTTCAAAATTTCGGTTTAAAATCTAAATTTTTCAAAAATCTGAAAAGTTCACATATTTCAATTAGCGATTCTGTAAAAATGGTAGGATTAAAAAAAAATAAACTGCAAATAACTTTTGTAGGTGTAAATCTGCAAAAAAAAGTCTTTAGTTAATTTTCGAAACAGGTCGAAAAATGATCGAAAATTTCCATAGGGGAGACTATTGAAAAATTGACTTTTTTGGAAAAGTTGACTAAAAATCCACAAACAATTCTGAAATATAGACTGTGACGTGTTGGTTCCAAGAATATAGAGTTTTTATGGGGATGGGTGGAGAATTTCGAAATTTCGGTTTAAAATTTTTGAAAAATCCGAAAAATTGACAAATATTTCAACGGTGATTTTGGAAAAATGGTAGAAATTTTCAAAAAAATTAACCGAAAATTACCTATTAGATGGATGTCAACAAAAAACTCTTTCGCTAATTTTGAAGAAGTGTTGAAAATTATCGCAAATTTCCAAATTGAAATATTGAACTTTTTGGAAAAGTTAACTAAAAATCCACAAAAAATCTGGAATATATATCGTGACGTGCTAGTTCAAAATTATAAAGTGTTCATGAAAACCGGATCAAAAATTTCGAACTATTAGATTTGATATCCAAACTTTTAAAAAATCCGAAAATTTCTATAGGGGAGCCTATTGAAAAATTGATTTTTTTGGAAACGTTGAGTAAAAATCCACAAAAATTCTGAAATATAGATTGTGACGTACTGGTTCCAAGAATATAGAGTGTTTATGGGGACGGGTTGAGAATTTCGAAATTTTGGTTTGAAATCGAAATTTTTTAAAAATCAAAAAATTCAGTCGCCGATTCTGGAAAATGGTATGAATATTCAAAACAATTTGGCTGAAAAATAACTTCTGTAGGTGTAAATCTGCAAAAAAACTTTTTAAACAATTTTCGAAATTTTGTTGAATAATGATTGAAAATTTCCAAAGGATTGAAAAATTGATCTTTTTGGAAAAGTTGACTAAAAATCAACAAAAATTCTAATTGATCTTTTTAGAAAAGTTGACTAAAAATCAACAAAAATATTCTGGAATATTGATCTTGACGTGTTGCTTCCAAAAATGTAGGGTGTTTATGGGTAACGGGTCGAGAATTTCAAAATATTCGGTTTGAAATCCAAATTTTTGAAAAATCCGAAAAATTGACATTTCAATTGGTGATTCCGGAAAAATGATAGGAATTTTAAAAAAAAATTTGCTGAAATTATCTTGTGCAAAAATCTGCAACAAAAAGTCTTTAGCGAATCTTCGAAACTGGCCGAAAAATGATCGAAAATTTCCAAAGGGGAGACTATTGATAAATTGACATTTTTGGAAAAATTCACCAATAATCCCCAAAACTGCTCGTATATTGATCGTGACTTGCGGCTTCCAATAATATAGGGTGAGAGCTCCAAAATTTCAAAATATTCTGTTTGAAATTCGAATTTTTGAAAAATCAAAAAAATTGACCTTTCAATTGGCGATTCTGGAAAAATGATAGGGATTTTCAAAAAACTTAATCTGCAAAAAAAATCTTTAGCCAAATTCGAAAATGGTCGAAAAATGATTGAAAATCTCCAAGGAGAGTATTGAAAAACTGACTTTTTTGGAAAAGTGGACTAAAAATCCACAAACAATTCGGAGATATAGATCGTAAAGTGTTGGTTCTAAAAATATAGAGTGTTTATGGGTGACGGATCGAGAATTTCGAAATTTCGGTTTAAAATCTAAATTTTTAAAAAATCCGAAAAATTGACATATTTCAGTTGACGATTTTGGAAAATGGTAGGAATTTTCAACAAAATTAAGTAGAAAATAAGTTTTGTAGGTGTAAATTCTAATAAATTGATCTTGACGCGTTGCTTCCAAAAACATATAGTGTTTATGGGTGGTAATGGGTCGATAATTTCAAAATAAACGTTGTTAATGGGTGATGGGCCGAGAATTTCAAAATATTCGGTTTGAAAACCAAATTTTTGAAAAATCCGTAAAAAAGATATTTTAATTGGCGATTCCGGAAAAATGGCAGGGATTTTCAGAAAAATTAAGCTGAAAACAACTTTTGTACGTGTAAATCTGCAAAAAAAGGTCTTTAGCCAATTTTCGAAACTCGATGAAAAATTATGGAAAATCTCCAAAGGGGGGAGTAATAAAAAATTGAGTTTTTTGGAAAAGTTGACTAAAAATCTACAAAAAAATCTGAGTTATAGATCGTAACGTGCTGGTTCCAAAAATATAGAGTGCTTGTGGGGACAGGTCGAAAATTTCAAAATTTTGTTTTGAAATGTAAATTTTAGAAAAATTCGAAAAGTGGACAGATTTCAGTTGACGATTCTGGAAAATGGTAGGAATTTTCAAAAAAAAAAATAAGTGAAAATAACTTTTGTAGGTGTAAATCTGCAAAAAAAGTCTTTAGCCAATTTTCGAAACTGGTCGAAAAATGATCGAAGATCTCAAAAGGGGAGAGTATAAGTGAAAATAACTTTTGTAAGTGTAAATTTGCAAAAATAGTTTTTTGCCAATTTTCAAAACTGGTCGAAAAATGATAGAAAATCTCGAAAGGGGAGAGTATTGAAAAATTTACTTTTTTGGAAAAGTTGACTAAAAGTCCACAAAAAATTCTGAAATATAGATTGTGACGTGGTGATTCCAAAAATATAGAGTATTTATGGGTCCGGGCCGAGAATTTCGAAATTTTGGTTTGAAATCTAAATTTTAAAAAATCCGAAAAATTGACATTTTTCAGTTGACGATTCTGGAAATCGTCGGAATTTTCAAAAAAATAAGATACAAATAACTTTCGTAGGTGTAGATCTGCAAAAAAAGTCTTTAAGCAATTTTCGAAACTGGTCGAGAAATCATCGAAAATTTCCATAGGGGAGACTATTGAAAAACTGACTTTTTTTGAAAAGTTGACTAAAAGTCCACAAAAAATCCCAAGTTATAGATCGTGACGTGCTGATTCCAAAAATATAAAGTGCTTATGGGGACGGGTCGAGAATTTCGAAATTTCGATTTGAAATCTAAATTTTAAAAAAATCCGAAAAATTGACATATTTCAGTTGACGATTTTGGAAAATGGTAGGAATTTTCAACAAAATTAAGTAGAAAGTAAGTTTTGTAGCTGTAAATTTGCAAAAATAATCTTAAGCCAAGTTTCGAAAAAAAATTATCGAAAATCTTCATAGTATTGAAAAATTAACTAAAAATCCACAAAAAATTCTGAAATATAGATTGTGACGTGCTGGTTCCAAAAATATAGAATGTTTATGGGGACGGGCCGAGAATTTCGAAAATTCGGTTTGAAATCTAAATTTTTAAAAAATCCGAAAAATTGACATATTTCAGTTGACGATTCTGGAAACTTGTACGAATTTTCAAAAAAAATAAGCTGCAATTAACTTTTGTAGGTGTAAATCTTCAAAAAAACTCTTTAGGCAATTTTCGAAACTAGTCGAAAAATCATCGAAAATTTCCATAGGGGAGACTATTGAAAAATTGACTTTTTTGGAAAAGTTGAATAAAAATCCACAAAAAATTCTGAGTTATAGATCGTGACGTGCTGGTTCCAAAAATATAGACTGTTTATGGATGAGGGGTGAGAATTTCGAAATTTTTGAAAAATCCAGAAAATTAACATATTTCAATTGGCGATTCTAAAAACATGGTAGGAGCCGGAAATAACTTCTATAGGTGGGAATCTGCAACTAAAAATCTTTTGCCAATTTTCGAAACTGGTCGAAAAATGAAAATTTGCAAAAAAACTATTGATAAATTGACCTTTTTGGAAAAATGCACTAATAATCCACAAAAATACTCGCGTATTGATCGTAGCGTGCGACTTCCAAAAATATAGGGTGTGTGTGGGTGACAAGTCGAAAATTTCAAAATATTCTGTTTGAAATCCAAATTTTTTAAAAATTCGAAAGATTGACATTTCTATTGGTGATTTCGAAAAAATGGTAGTGATTTTCAAAAAAATGAAATCTAAAATGGACAAAGACTGTCAATTTTAGATTTCATTTCATTCAACTGCCACTGATCGACTTTAAAAACTTCAATACACCTTTTGCACAAGTGACAAAGACAGATTTTTTTGTGGAAATTAAAAAATACTAGTAGTATAACAAAAGTTAGAGTCAGTAGTATTCGATTACATTATAGTTATGATAAAATTTTCAATAGTTGTTGTATTATGACCTGATAAAGAAACAAAAAACACAATTTTTAAAATATGAAAAATAAAAAAAAAATCGATATACAAGTACTATGAAATTTTAGCACGAATATAATGTGTAAGATTCATGTAACAACTTCTTCAAAAATCAGAAAACTGAGTTTCTTGTACAAGAATTTTTTCAAACTATTTTCAATTTTGTTGTCGTACTACGGTTTTTAGTGACACATAAACACCGAAATCCGCTACCCCCGCCCAGTCTCCTCCCTAAATCTGTACTTGACGTTAAGAGCACCGCACTTTCTCTCGAAACTTGCGAAAATCCGACTAGTATTAATGGATTCGCTGGAAAAGTTGGGCAGCAAAAGAATAGCCATCAATATTGCAACGCTACAGACATCGAAACTTCTCATCTCGTGTGCATCCAACATTAAACAATACGCCAACTCCTCCACACAAGAGCGTTCCCAGAAGAATAAAAGTCCCCCAGAGAAGTGGTTTCAGACGAGGGCGTTCCTCCAGATAATTTATTTACGCAATAATATATCTGAAAATGTCAAAAGCACAAAGGCAGTCCTCCCATCCCGCGCTGTTCACATAACCTCGCGATTGTGAAGTGTATAGACAAACGAAACCGAAATGAGACTGTTTGTGCCGTAGATAATTGTTTAAGACAACAAAGGAATCGGTAAAGATGTTCGACACGTGGCGTTCGCTCCTAACTCGATTTTCTGCTTAATTGCGAGATTTATGGCAGTCTGGGGACCGCAAGGAAAGATAATTAGAATAAATAATAATCGCGAAAAAGTTTATGAATATTCATCTGCGAGGTGTTTTTCGGCTTCGCCCAAGAGACTGCATTACCTCAAAAAGGCATGTTTTGCATTGAAACCCTTTGTAATTTCCCTTTGTTTAAAGAGCGCCCCTGGGTAGACGACGCGTCGTACGTTCCATTTATAATTGGCCTGAGTGTCGCTTTAGCGTCACTCTATCAATATTTAACGCGCTGGATTTTTAATTTTTTTGTTATTTTAAAGGTGGAGTTGGAGAACTGGGTGAACAGCATACACAGCGCTTGTGCTGCGGCATTCGCAAGACATCGAGGTAAAACCGGGACCCTCCATCTCCTCCAAGAGGAGATCTTCCGGTTGGAGAAAGCCATAGAGACCGTAAGTGATTTATTTCTAAACAGGGATTATAATCCACATTTGTAAAGAAACACATATTGGCGTCGATTTTTCGGAATGCCGAACGACGCTCCGGGAACGTTTTCTATTTATTCAGCAGCTCAGATTTGGAATTTATACACGACACCGGTATAGAGCTGCCACCTTTTCAGGAGATTTAGTCGCTTTCGTAATCTGAAAAAGCTTTCAGTCACATGTTTTGTCAGTCGCGTGATTTGAATAGATACGGGGAAGAATTAACCAGATATTGGAAGTTTCTTCTTTTCAGAGCGAAAGCGGAATAACAATTGACGCGCAAAAATCGCGCTACTTAGGACGAAACCGCTTAAGGCGGTATCACTCGGACACTTTTCATCCCATTTGAAATGTACTGTAAAAAGGAGAGAAATTGACTTAGGGCGATATTTTTTTCTTAACAATCCTTATTAGACATATTTTGTCCCCCTTATATTAAAATTTGATTTTCAGTTTTGTTTTCTGTGCAAAAAAAAAAACTAAAATGACGACATTTACACTGCTGTTACAACGTACACTTTGTAGTGCGAAAAAAATTAAAAAAGAAGTGTCTACAACAAATTTTCAGGCTTTCACTTTTCAATTCCATGATTTTCCACCTTTAAAATTTTTCAATTTGCAGTTTTTGGATTTCCAGTCTTCCAATTTTTCAATTTCTTTAATTTTCAATATTTTGATTTTACAATACATATTTCTTTTTTTTTTCACTTTTTCGAATTTTAAGTTTTTCAATTTTTAATCTTTCGATTTTTCAAATTTTCGTTTCTTCAAATTTTCATGTTTGATTTTCACTTTTGACATTTTTCAAGTTTTCATCATACACTTTTTCGTTTTTTTATTTTTGATTTTTCAAGTTTACAGTTTCTTGACTTCTAAATTTTTCAATTTTTCAATTAGCAATTTTTTAATTTTGCAATTTTTCGATATTAGTTTCTCATTTTTCGATTTTTCACATTCTCAATTTTTAATTTTTGTCATTTTCAATTTTTCGTTTCCTCAAATTTTCAAGTTCTCGATTTTTATTTTTCATTTCCCCGATTTTTCTAATTTTCATTTTCTCGATTTTATGTCACAAATTTTCATTTTTTCAATTCCTTTATTTTTTGTTGTTTCTTTCGATTTTTCAATTTTTCGTTTCTTTAAGTTTTCGAATTTTCAGTTTCTCAATTTTTCATTTCCACAATTTTTCATGTTCCAGATTTTTATTTCCTCGATTTATATCACAATTGTCCGTTTTTTCATTTCCTACATTTTCTGAGTTTTTTTTTCGATTTTACAATTTTTTATTTGTTCAATTTTTCAAATTTTCAGGCTTTGAATTTTCAGTTCATCCATTTTTCATTTTTAAATTTTTCACTTTGCAGATTTTGGATTTCCAGTCTTCCGATTTTCCAATTTCTTTAATTTTAAATATTTCTATTTCATGATACAAATTTCTTTTTTTTTTTATTTTTCACTTTTCCGATTCTTAAGATTTTTCAAGTTTTCATTTTGTAATTATTCGTTTTTTATTTTTGATTTTTCAATTTTACAATTTCTCGACTTCCAAAATTTTCAATTTTTCGTTGCTTCAATTTTTCGGTTTGCATCAGTTTTTCCATTTGGCAATTTTTCAATATTACAGATTTTCATTTTTTGATTTCTCAGAGTATTAATTTTTAATTTTTCCCTTTTCCAATTTTTTGTTTCCGATCTTTATTTTTCATTTTCCCAATTTTTTAATTTTCGCTTTTTCGATTTTATATCACAATTTTCCTTTTTTTGATTTCCTTTATTATTTGTTGTTTCTTTCGATTTTTCAATTTTTCGTTTCTTCAATTTTTCGAATTTTCAGTTTCTCAATTTTCGTTTCCACAATTTTTCATGTCCCCGATTTTTATTTTTCAGTGTGGCGAATTTTTAATTTTTATTTTCTCGTTTATATCACAATTGTCCGTTTTTTCATTTCTTTTATTTTGTATGTTTTTGTTTCAATTTTACAATTTTCCATTTGTTCAATTTTTCAAATTTTCAGGCTTTGAATTTTCACTTCATCCATTTTTCAATTTTAAATTTTTCACTTTGCAGTTTTTGGATTTCCAGCCTTCCGATTTTCCAATTTCTTTAATTTTGAATATTTCTATTTCATAATACATATTTCTTTTTTTTTGATTTTTCACTTTTTCGATTCTTAAGATTTTTCAAGTTTTCATTTTGTAACTTTTCGTTTTTTATTTTTGATTTTTCAATTTTACAATTTCTCGACTTCCAAAATTTTCAATTTTTCGTTCCTTCAATTTTTCGGTTTGCATCAGTTTTTCAATTTGGCAATTTTTCAGTATTACAGATTTTCATTTTTCGATTTTTCAGTTTCTCAATTTTTAATTTTTCCCTTTTCCAAGTTTTTGTTTCCGATTTTTATTTTTCATTTTCCTGATTTTTTAATTTTCAATTTTTTCGATTTTATTTCACAATTTTCCTTGTTTTGATTTCCTTTCTTTTTTGTTGTTTCTTTCGATTTTACAATTTTTCCTTTATTGAATTTTTCAAACTTTCAGGTTTTTAGCAATTTTTTTTCAAATTTTCAAGTTTGATTTTCACTTTGTACATTTTTCAAGTTTTTATTATACACTTTTTCGTTTTTTTTATTTTTGATTTTTCAATTTTACAATTTATCGACTTCCAAATTTTCCAATTTTTCAATATTACAATTTCTCATTTTTCCATTTTTCACATTCTCGATTTTTAATTGTGCCCTTTTTCAATTTTCCGTCCCCTCAATTATTCAACTCCCCGATTTTTATTTTGCATTTTCCTGATTTTTTATTTTTCATTTTCTCGGTTTTATATCACAATTTTTTGTTTTATCATTTCCTTAATTTTTGTTGTTTCTTTCGATTTTCCAATTTTTCGATGTTTTGGATTTTTCAGTTATCCGATTTTTCAATTTTTTTAAATTCTGGGGTTTCGATTTGTCGATTTTTCAGTTTTTCGATTTTTAAGTTTTAGATTTTCGAATTTTTCTTTTTTGATTCTTAAGATTTTTCAAGTTTTCATTTTGTAATTTTTCGCTTTTTATTTCTGATTTTTCAATTTTTTACAATTTCTCGACTTCCAAAATTTTCAATTATTCGTTCCTTCAATTTTTCGGTTTGCATCAGTTTTTCAATTTGGCAATTTTTCAATATTACAGATTTTCATTTTTCGATTTTTCAGTTTCTCAATTTTTAATTTTTCCATTTTCCAATTTTCTGTTTCCGATTTTTATTTTTCATTTTCCCGATTTTTTAATTTTCACTTTATCGATTTTATATCACAATTTTCCTTTTTTTGATTTCCTTTATTTTTTGTTGTTTCTTTCGATTTTACAATTTGTCCTTTATTAAATTTTTAAAATTTTCAGGTTTTTAGCAATTTTTCTTCAAATTTTCAAGTTTGATTTTCACTTTGTGCAATTTTCAAGTTTTTATTATATACTTTTTCGTTTTTTTATTTTTGATTTTGCAATTTTACAATTTGTCGAGTTCCAAATTTTCCAATTTTTCAATATTACAATTTCTCATTTTTCCATTTTTCACATTCTCGATTTTTAATTGTGCCCTTTTTCAATTTTCCGTCCCCTCATTTTTTCAACTCCCCGATTTTTATTTTGCATTTTCCTGATTCTTTATTTTTCATTTTCTCGATTTTATACCACAATTTTTTGTTTTTTCATTTCCTTAATTTTTGTTGTTTCTTTCGATTTTCCAATTTTTAAATTTTTCAGTTTGCAGTTTTTGGGTTTCCACCTCTTTTTTACTTTTTGGATTTTCAATTTTTCGTTAAACTCTAGATTTCTCAAATTTTCGACAGTTTTATATATATTTCGATTTGTGAATTTTTCGAGTTTTCAGTTCTTGTACATTTTAATTTTTCTTTTTTCCAAATTTTTTTATTTTCCGATTTTCCAATTTTTTTAATTTTCAAGTTTTGACGTTTCTGAATTTTCAGTTTTCCGATTTCTCAATTAATCTATTTTTTATTTTCCCATTTTCGACTTGCCAAGGTTTCGATTTCTCTAATTTTCAGTTCTTATATATTTGAATTTTCCAATTTTCGAAATTCAAAGTTAATTATAAGTTACTTTTTAAAAGACACATTAAAAGAACACGACCAAAAACAGCTCAACTATTGTGTGACAATTCTGAGTGATACCACCTTAACAGTTTCGCGTGTTCAATACCGGATTAAGCGCACGTAGACCTAATCCGGCGTCCGGGCAGTCTGAAAGCCGATATTTGGATGCGTTCCAAAGCCACAAAACAACAAAAGTAAATGGCGGAATTCCCGGAACGAACCTGGAAATTTACTGCCCGATGTGAAATGGAGCATAACTCCAAGTGTCCGAATTCACGCAGTTATTCCTATTACTGGTTTACCAAAAATGGACCTGGATCACCTTTTTCAGGATTACAAGCTCAAGCACATGGCCGAGATGCAGCAGAGCGTGGTAGGCGACTCCGACGCCCGCCAACAGATCGCCAACCAAGTCATCCAGTGGGAGGAGAACCTGGAGCGGCTGCACTGCGAGCAGTTCCGGCTGCGGTGCTACATGGCGAGCCTCCAAAGCGGGGAACTGCCCAACCCTAAGGTCAGTCTGGATCGTCCGGGCTACGACGACGCTAATTGATTGGTTGCAGTCCTTACTGACGCACGTGTCGAGAGCAACGAAGAATACCTTAAACAAACTGGGAGTGTTCACCGTTTCCTCGTTCCATGCCTTCATTTGCGCCAGGAGTCCTTCCCTACTCAATAATTTACTGGCGGGTCGGGGCGCCACGAAGCGCCGACCTCCGCTGCTGTCCAGATCCAACAGCGGCTCGAGCCGGAGGTCCCTCCAGGTAGGCCAGATTAACCACTCGAATCAAATTAGGTGGGTCGGCGAATTTAATATCGGTTGACCCAGCCATTGAAAAGAAAAACGAGCGTGATTTATGGACAATCGGAATTCAATTGGATTGAAGATAGTCAAGTGCGAATTGACGAATTGGACATGATTCACGCACGACCCGGCTACAAATCGTCTAACGACGCCTTCTTTCCTTAAGCTAAACCCCTAAGCTTGATTGTTTTCCTCGGCTATGTTCCTGGCAATAAAAGCGATATATTACCTCCATATTAGTACTCCGGATAATGGCTCTAAATTTGAAACGCGCCGTCCTTGCACCTATAAAACATAACTCGAGCAGCTGTTTCAAGCCAGGTAAGCGCTCGAATCCGCGACCCTTCGTACGAAATTCAAAGATTAGCCTGTTATTAATTTAATCAAACTTCCTCGCTGGTGCATATAACGCGTTTATTAGAAACCTTGACGCTAATCCCTTGCAAACAATGAACCTGCAAAAATTCCCTCATCTTCTGTTTGTGCTTCTGTATTCGACACCCCCGAAATATCGGAAAACGATTACTCGGGTGTTTATAATATGCACGCCTTATTGTGTTCCAGATAAATTCGCGCGAAGAATCCGAAAAGACCGTTAAGGTGTCACTACCAGATTCTGCAACAGCTACGGTTTACGTGAGGGAATCCATGTCTGTCGAGGAATTCTTAGCCAGTGCTTGCGCCCGGAAAAATCTCAGCTGCACGGAACATTTCATCAGAGTGAAAAAGAGGAGAGAGATGGAAGACCACAACTACTTCGTGCCACACAGGAGCGACCTGATCGACACATACGTGAGTAGTTTTTCGCGATAATCGGATTACGGGCTGTTCGGCTTGCAAATTGCAGCGACGATTAATCGCTGCTAGGGATTCGATTTTTCCGCAATGAGACGCAGTATGCATTCTGCGGCAGTTCCCTGGCCCAGTGCACTTGTTTGTCGGTGGCCAGGCACTCGGTCTCCCATTTCTTGCTTCATTAAGGGGACTCGCTAGACGAGGTATAACATTTTTTTGAATTTTTGTATGAAAAAATTGGTCTAAAGAGTTTGGACAGTACTTCCCTCGCTGTCGGAAACTTGACGACTGCATGCCTATTGTGTTTTTTTTTCTCATTACATTTTTGTAGTGGGAATTTAAAAAAAAATTGTGATGACGTCATCAACATTTTTGCAAGGACACGTATATCAGTTGGGATAGATGTAGTGTAATACTAAGAATAAAATTATTGTATTCCCAAATTTTCGGGAAAATGAATTGGGTCGCTTTGAATATTGATTTCTTATATTCAATAAAATAACGAAACAATTTACTCACGTATACGGCGCCGGTGTGTAATATCTAGAGAGCGGATTTCTGTCGGGCTAGGCAAGGCCAAACTCGGTACGGCTCGTACGGGATGCGAATTCATTGAGGTTGCGGACTGCACTTCGTTTATTTGAGATTAGACTAACGCTGTTTCGTTGCACTCTGCTGTTAATTCCCGTTCTCATTTACTTAGCCGTTTGATTAATAAATCGTTAATTATATTTATGGAATTAGTACTGATTAAATTCAGTGATTATCTATCACCCGGCGATCCAGTACGTCCCCCCCTATAATCGTGACTTAGCCCGACAGAAATCCGCTGTCTAGTAATATGAGGGGCAACTGAAAATCGTTTATGTATAAACATTCTTAATTTAAGATGACAAGCGTAACAGCATACGTAAGAGTCAAACAGAGAAACTGTAAACAAAACGACCATCGGTTTTATTGCTTCGACTTCCGCTTATTATATAAAACATTGGGTTTTATTTTAATTCTTGACGGTGAAATTCACAATTGGTTGATTATAAACATGTCTATTCCACATTCGCGGAACCAAGTGAGGGCATAAAACAAATGCAGGTCTGTAATGTTAAAGTCGATGTAAATAAGCGTGCTAACCTTATGTTTCAACCGGGTTTTGCCTTTAATTTAATCAATAAAATAAATTGACTTCATTAATTTTTTTGAACCACCTCTTAAGAAAATCTAAAAAATATGAATGGAATGATAAATCACAAGTACAAACTCATCATATTTTTTGCATTTTAGATAGGATTTATTCAGCAAAATTTAAGGGTGACGTCTTCAATTTTTTTAGGAGGGATGAACAAATACATTTTGAACAAAAGTTTACCATGCTTATAATAACTTTAAAATATTCCCAAGATTTCAAAGCATTCGGTTTTGTAATTCCTGATTAAATCAATAAAGTAAATTCACGCCTTCATTAATTTTTTTGAGTCACCCTGCATATGCAAATCCAAAAATATGAATGGAATGATAAATCACAAGTACAGACTCATCACATTTTGTACATTTTAGATACGATTTATTCGGCAAACTTTTGAGCTGACGCCATCAGTTTTTTGTAGAAGATAACCAAATATATTTTGACTAAAAATTTATTATGCTCTTTATAACCTTAAAACATCTGCAAGATTTCAAAGCATTCGGTTTTGTAGTTCCTGATTAAATCAATAAAATAAATTTACGCATTCATTAATTTTTTTGAGTCACCCTGTATATGCAAATCGAAAAACTTTGAATGGAATGATAAATCACAAGAAGAGACTCACCATATTTTGTACATTTTAGATAGGATTTATTCAGCAAAATTTTGTGGTGACGTCATAAATTTTTTAGGGGGGACGACCAAATACATTTTGATCAAAAATTTACCAAGTTTATGATAATTTTAAAATATCTTCAAGATTTCGAAGCATTCGGTTTTGTAGTTCCTGAGTAAATCAGTAAAATAAATTTACCCTTTCATTTATTTTTTTGAATCACCCTGTATATGCAAATCCAAAAAATATGAATGGAGTGATAGATCACAAGTACAGACTGATCATATGTTGTACATTTTAGATATGATTTATTCGGCAAACTTTCGAGCTGACGTCATCAAGTTTTTGGAGGGGATAAGCAAATATATTTTGACTAAACATTTATTATGCTCTTTATGACCTTAAAACATCTGCAAGATTTCAGAGCATTCGGTTTTGTAGTTCCTGATTTAATCAATAAAATGTATTTACGCATTCATTAATTTTTTTGAGTCACCCTGTATATGCAAATCCAAAAAAATGAATGGAGTGATAGATCACAAGTACAGACTCATCATATTTTGTACATTTTAGATATGATTCATTCCACAAACTTTTGAGCTGACGTCATCAAGTTTTTGGAGGGGATAAGCAAATATTTTTTGACTAAAGATTTATGATGCTCTTTATAGCCTTAAAACATCTGCAACATTTCAAAGCATTCTGGTTAGCAGATTAAAAATTAAATTTCAAAATGTTGTTTTATAATTTTAATTTTTTTTCCAAAAATCTGGACGTTTCGGGTGAAAAGTCGATTCGGAGTTGTAAACTACATGTGTAGGACTATGTTATTTTATACAATTGAAAACCCATTTACTATGTACAATTTTGAAGTGACGTCATCGCATTAGTGGTGGGGATGATTAGACAAATTTTGGTTAGCGTTTTACCATCTACATGATATTCTTAATATAAGTACAAAATTTCACAACAATCGGTCGAGTACTTTCGGAGATTATCTGTCTAATAAAAATCCGGGACGGCAGACGGACAGACAGACGGACGGACAGACGGACAGACGGACAGACGGGCAGACAGACGGAAATGGGAGACCTATTTCTTCGTCTTCTAGGGGTCATGAAAGATCGAGAAAACGTAAAAGTAGAGAGTCGGCCGACGGACTCGCTTACAATACTTCCTTTGCTTACGCTCGGGAAGTAAAAAGCTTAATAAGTGAACTAAATTGATTTACAAATTACAAAAACAGGTTTCCGTTTTATTACAAAAAATACATAAATCATAAATATTAATATTCTTATGCTAAAAATTAAATATAAACAGAACAAATCGAAAGATAGTAGTAATCGACTATTTAATTACTATTTTGGTAACAATTTATTTTTAAATATTTTTCGAAATATTGAACAAAAAGTGATTCTAAAGTATGTATTTATTTGTAAATAGAAAAACTGTGTACCTACCACGTCCACAGATGTAAAAATAAATACCGGTTTAAAGCAGCGCGACAAAACACAGTTGCTTCTTGAAGAATAAGTTCAGGAAAAGGTTTGATCCATAAATTAATTTGAGTTATCTTCGACATATTGACACACCTGTATCGCTTTAAATGCCTCAACACAAACTCACGATGAAAAATAATAGGATAACGTCCCTTTGACCACCACAAATACATAAAATAAATTTTTGCCCTAGTTAAATATCATTTCAATTCTGTAATTTTTGTCAACGATATCAGTGGTCTGAAATGCGGAGGCTCGTAAGGCCAACTCTAAATCAAAATGTTTTTGATCGTGGTGTATGTGTTTCGACTCGGATTTTGTAAATATTTGTAACATTGCAAAAAATTTTAATATCTAAATTTTGGCACTTGAGAACTAAATAGATCACCGATTTTTAGAATGCCAAAAAAAATATGTATATTTTAAGTAGAAAAAAAATTCAACAATTTTTAGCGATCCTATTTCACAAAATGGAGCATAAAATTTGAAAAAAAGTTTATTAGTAACGGAACATGTTTCGAGAGCCTACGTTTTCGTCTTCAGGCAGAACAAGTAAAGTTGGTTTTAAAGTAACAAATGTGTATTAATTTATTATCCGTAACAGGTTATGGTACTCGAAATTATATATACCGGGTGTCTGGAAAATGGTGGAAAAACTCTCCACTACGCTGTTAACAATCAACTGGTGACTCTGAGAAAAAAAGTAAAAAAATTCCTTCTCACACTTTGCTGGAGTTACAAAGATTTTAAAATTGGTTCTTTTGCTACGTTTAACAACTAAACAACACATTCATTATCATAATAACTAGTATTAAAACTGAAAGTCTCGAGTGCCACAGTGTTTTTTTTTTTAATAGGGGAGACTCTTGGGTACTCATGGTGTATTATTTTGGGAGCTTCTGGAAATTTTGTTTGTAAATTATTTAAAACAACTTTGGGGGATTTTGGTGTTTTCTATTTTTTTTTGAAAAACTTAAAACATTCTTGCGCTTCTAGGTATTCCAGTTTGGAAAAAAACTGAAAGTGCTTTGGAACCTCTAGTATCTTTTCTTAAAATAATTTCTTAGGGGATAGGTCATTTGCTAAAATCAGTATTATCTTGGCAGCTACTAGCCCCGCCCACCCACCCTCTCTTTTCTTAGAGAGTATCCCATTTGCCAAAATCAGTTTTATCTTAGCAGGTACAAGGCCCGCCCACCCTCCCTCTCTTTTTTTATAGGAAATCCGATTTGCCAATATCAGTTTTATCTTAGCAGATACTAGCTGTCATTAATACACTGAAGTAACGAACAAAAATATTGGGAATGAACGTAAGGCTTGTCCCAGAAAGTTTTGCACCATATTTAAATTCTGCTATTAAAGTTGTTTAATTGACATTTGAATTAAGTAAAATATATATGCTACAGTAGGCCATGCTCTACACATCTGTCATTAGTTTTTTTGTTTTAATCAGTCGGCTCTCAAAATGTCGTCAAAAAGAGTTAGTGTAAGACAACGAATTTTGCAAATTTGGTCCGAACATTGTCAAAAATCTTTAAACTTAATAGTGAAAGAGGCTAATGCGACGCAGTGGACGGTAAAACGGACAAAGAAAAATATATCTTTTTGCAAAAATTTGGCCGCAAAGTTCTTGTTTGGCAAGCAATTTGCCAATGTGGCAAGAGAAACAGGATTTTTTTGTTGAAAGCAGCACCAACAC